TACAATTAGCTAATTTGCAGTTAAAATTCGAATAATTTTACGTAAGTAAATAGGTTACCGCATTATGAAAGTTGGCAGCCTTGTGTTGCACTCTCAATAGCTAACTGTCAATTGAGTTGTTATTTTTATTTCATAATTATTATCTAATTAGTGGCCTGTAAATGATCAAATCTTTGATTGCTAATCGTCTCTCCATCAAGGGTCATCGCTACTTAGCAGACAAAGTTTACCTGTAGAAAGAAGTGTTGCACGAAGGTTCATCCCTCTGCACATTCTTAGTCTCTCCCTGGAGCGTCGTCATTTGTGGCTCTCCACGGTCGCAATACGCATGATGAATGTCTACGGCGTTGTCAATTTCATTATTATTTTTACAATTTAATTGCATGGACACCTCAACATTTCTTGCTAATTATAACGCAATGTCGAGCATGTTCAATAGCGGGCAGCCGCATTCAGATTATGGCTTCTTCATCATGCTCGATTTTATCGAAGGGGAACTGTTCTCCCTCACCCAATCTCTCTCTCTCTTCTCTGCTTTCTCGGTTTCTCTCTCTCTCTCTCTCTCTCTCTCTCTCTCTCTCTCATCTCTCTCTCCTCGTTCTCTCTCTCTCTCTCCTCTCTCTCTCTCTCTCTTTCTTCTCTCTCTCTTCTCTCGTCTTCTACTCCCCTCCCTCTCTCTCTCTCTCTCTCCTCCTCTCTCTATTTTATCTCTCTCTCTCTCTCTCTCTCTCTTCTCTCCTTGGTCCTGATACTTACTAGCGCTCCTTTTACACCCATGGTGTCTCTTTCTTCTGTTTCTCTCTCTCCTCCGTTTTTCTGTCTCTCTTCCCCCTCTCTCTCTCTCTCTCTCTCTCTCTCTGTTCTCTCTCTCTCTCCTTCTCCATCCTCTCCTCTATCATTCACTCTGTATCATCTCTATCATCCGGTTCACTTACGTTAATTTCAGTATAATTGACAGGACGGTGCTCACCATCCTGGTTTTCTCGGAAAGCGTTGACCTTCGACTGTATCGTATTCCTGTGTTGCGGAGTGACCAGCGAGCGGCCAGGATGTTGGACCAACATAACCTGACTTCGAAGGTAAGTGTCGATGAGATGTCCTGTAGCTCTTCCAGCAGTTGATACTTTCACTTGCCGAAACGAATGTATGACAGTGAAAATGCTGGAGGCACCTCGCTTTAGCGATAAATTGACCTGTAACAAATACAGATTACAGAATACCAGCGTACAGTACCAGTTACATATACAGATACAATATACAGATTCAGCATACAGTCAGAATCAAAATGTGTGCATACCTTAAACATGCTACAAAAATGCCACGAGGTTAGCCTCTAACATCTTTAGGATTACATACGTTCTTCGTCCTTGCTATATTTAGGGCGAACAGCGGCTATAGATGCAAGATCTAATGCCTGGCGATTACTCTGTTACCTGTAAAGCATGCAACAAAGATGGCGTACGATGCTACAACGGTACGTGAGATAGCGTCGCAACATCTCTAGACGTAACTGCGGCCATGCAATCCGCAATGGCCGCTTAGCTTTGAGGATTTGACACTTTGTTCATGTCTTCCAATCACAGTCACGTCGTCCCCCTTTAATGATCATAAATTTTGTGAGTTACAATATCATTCGACCCACGGAAATCTTCATCCCGAGGCAACTAGGGCATTTTTCTGCTACGCTACGGTTTCATACGATAGAGTTGTGGCCCAAATAGCGAATATAACCGCTGTTTTGCGGCGCCATAAGTTTTTTCTTTTCATTTTTCGCCATACTGTAGCGACATAGCCCCGTCCTTTTTGTTGATTGCTTATGAATGCGGCGTCAAGCGACTGTGAGCTGACTCTTGCTACTACTGCAGAGCCCGTTGACTTTTCGTAAATTCAATGAAAGCATTTTTTCCCGCGATGCATCGGCATCTGAAAATTCTAGCATTTTCACTCGCTATCGCAAGTCAACGGACGCGCGTCATTCAAGTAAAACTTTGTGTATTTCCATAATTTCACTTGTATGATTTCACAATTTTCTCATTTTGCCCATATAAATTGATGACGAATCCACGTATTGTGATTTAAGTCTTTCTGACGGCACAAGCTGTCTGCCCATCAAATGGCTTCGAACGTCAGTAGCGTCATTCGCACAACCGCACGCTCACGTCGTGTGCGTAACCGGTTCTTTGTGCTGCCACTTCGCTAGCAAGGCGAGCTACCGCGTCAGACGTTTCTGTGGCAGCCTCCAGCCTCCGCTGGCTGTGATGGCCGCGCTGTTTAAGTCTTGCTAACCTGTTCGTTTGAGTTATCTAAACCAGCATCCTAAACCTATCAATAAATGTTATGAGTTCTTATCGACGGAGACATCAACAATAATGATTTATTTAATACTACATTTCATTAATAATTAATATTTTTCCAGTCTCGGCATCCGCTATCATAGCGTTATAACCTCCTATTATTAAATCCCCTACGGCATGAATCATTTTGAGGTGACATTTTTATCACTTGGCCTATTACATCAACCCGATCCTTTCTTTGTTTCGTGAATCTTTCATATAACTATTATATTTGTCTTTGTTTCATCATATTAAATCTCTAATCTTGTTTGATTCAGCTAATCTGAGCGGGCTAAACCGGACAGGCTCTCCGACCTGTTACACGTCGTTAGGAACATGTACCCAACTGTAGTGTTACGCACGGAATGGAACTCCTCCTGTGCGCCACATCTCAGCAGCCATGACTGCAGCGATTTTTTATATTATATTATAAACCTCTAAATTCCCCTGAATATCCGTCCACCTATAATTCATGTCATCTTCTAAAACTACAGGCCATCCCGCTGACCGCTGAGGAGCGTGCGCCAGGGCCAATCTTCGCAGCGCACGTCTCCCTTGCGGAGCGCGCTTCATACTTGACAATCGCCGCGGCTCCGCGGTGCCGCCACTCTCCCGCGACTGCGCGTCTCCATCGCGCCGCAGCGTTAGGCCATCAACCAGCCAAAGCTGCTGCCACGCCAATCTTGTATCCCATGTCTGCTCTGGATCTACAACGTTCTGCCTTTGACAATGCCGGCACAGGGCTAGATTGCACGACCAAGTGCCGAGTCTCCACTCCTCATACCCTGACACATGCCGATACCACCGCCCTCACCGTTTGTTCGTCCGTCAGTGCTGCCAGGATGTGTTTCGAGCAGAGTACGGTTTCGGTCGGGCTTGAGCCAGGAACAGCAGCACTGCGTCATTGAAGCGGCTGCTCTCTGCCATTAGTACATGGAAAGACTCCAGTCCTGTGGCGACCCCGGATGCCCAGTCATCTGCGTCGCCGTGTCGCGGTGCGTATCCTCCGGCTCCATTCCCACGTCGTCGTCTGCCGGGGAAATTAAACACGTGTACGTGTAGACAGACGATATCATGATATGTTAGTCTTCACCCTAACCCTAACCCTAACCTCTCACACCAACCCACTCTCCTTCCTCCCTCGCACAACCACTCACTCTCCTCCTTTCCCTCTCGCACCCCACCTGCTCTCCTTACCTCCCTCCTCACACACCTCTCAGCTCTCTTTTCCTTTCCTTCCTCCGCACACCCGCCTTCTCCTTCCTCCCTCTCACAGCCTCTTCACTCTCTTTTCCTCCTCTTCGCACCCCACCGCTCCTCCCTTCCTCACTCTCCACACCACTCCTCTCCTTCCTTTCCTCTCGCACCACCCGCTCTCCTCTCCCTCTCACAACCCTCTCACTCTCCTTTCCTCCCGTGGCAACAACCCTCTCACTCTCTTTCTTCCTCGCAAAAAAAAACCCACCCCGTCTCCTTCCTCCCCTCTCACCAACCTCTCACTCTCTTTCCTTCCTCTCGCACCCACCCGCTCTGCTTCCTTCCTCTCCCACCAACCCACTCTCCTTCCTCCCTCTCACAACCTCTCACTCTCTTTCCTCCCTCTCACAACCTCTCACTCTCTTTCCTTCCTCTCGCACCCACCCGCTCTGCTTCCTTCCTCTCCCACCAAACCCACTCTCCTTCCTCCCTCTCACAACCTTCCATCACCTCTCTTTCCTCCTCTCACACTCCTCACTCTCTTTCCCTTTCCTCTCGCACCACCGCTCTGCTTCCTTCCTCTCCACCAACCCACTCTCCTCTCCCTTTCTCACAACCTCTCACTTTTCTTTCCTTTCCTCTCTGCACCCATCCGCTCTGCTCTGCCTTCCCTCGGCCCACACCCTCTCCTTCCTCCCTCTCACAACTCTCACTCTCTTTTCCTTCCTCTCGCACACCCCGCTCTCCTCCTCCCTCTCACAACCGCTCCACTCTCTTTCCTTCTCTCGCACCCACCGCTCTCTTCCTCCCTCTCACACACCTCTCATCTCTTTTCCTTCCTCTCGCACCCACCGCGCTTCCTTCCTCTCCCTCTCAACCTCTGCTCACGGCTCTTTCCGTCTCTCCTTTCGTTCCCCTCATACTCGTCTTTCTGTCCTTCTCTCCTCTTTCTTCACAATCTCCTCCTTTCCTCTCACACCAACCCGCTCTCCTTCCTCCCTCGCACAACCACTCACTCTCCTCCTTTCCTCTCGCACCCACCCGCTCTCCTTCCTCCCTCTCACAACCTCTCACTCTCTTTCCTTCCTCTCGCACCCACCCGCTCTCCTTCCTCCCTCTCACAACCTCTCACTCTCTTTCCTTCCTCTCGCACCCACCTGCTCTCCTTCCTCCCTCTCACAACCTCTCACTCTCTTTCCTTCCTCTCGCACCCACCCGCTCTCCTTCCTCCCTCTCACAACCTCTCACTCTCTTTCCTTCCTCTCGCACCCACCCGCTCTCCTTCATCCCTCTCGCACTCACTCACTCTCTTTCCCATCTCTCGAATCCCACCAGCTCTTTTCCATGCCTCACTCACCCATGTCGCTGCGGGGTATCGGGACCGTGTCGGCTATGTAGCGCTTGTGGTCGCCGCTCAGCAGCGGCATGATGTACGCCCACAGAGTCTTCTTCGACGGCGTGTCGAGGATCGGCGCCAGCGACTCCACCAGGTGGCGCACGTTGTGCGACTCGTTGTAGTGGTGCAGCTCCTTTCGGAAGCTCAGCCGCTCCATGTCAGTGAGGAGGTAATGGATCTGCATGGAAACAAGTGAACATTGTTTGTAGAACAAAGCGTAGGTAGTGAATCTGCAACGAAACAAGTGAACATTGCTTGTAGAACAAAGCGTAGGTAGTGAATCTGCAACAAAACAAGTAAACATTGCTTGTAGAACAAAATCTAGGTAGTGAGTCTGCAACAAAACAAATGAACATTGCTTGTAGAACAAAGCGTAGGTAGTGAATCTGCAATTAAACAAGTGAATGACACTCATAGAACAATCGGCAGCAGCCTCGGGTAATGTGGATTTAAAATGACAGTGGATGTGAAAATGCTGGCAGTGACCACCCTCTAGTGGCATGAACGACACAGGTCCCTGAAACGACCCTGCCCAATAACTGTTAAGAAGAATTCGAAGAATTTGAGGTAATAAATCTGAAATAAAACATAGTCATCATTTAAGCATGGGTATACACACGCACGGGTTTGGCCACAAATTCAGAGGCCGACCCTACTAGAACTTTAATTATCGGCTTCGCGGGGACAGAAACCATACATGAATCAACGTGCTGGTATACAACCGTAAACACACATTGCAGCGCTGTATAATCTAATCGTAGATGTGGATACTTCCACGATTCAATGATTGGCCACTTGGAATGCCTAATATGGATTTGCAAGTATTCGGACCAATTACGTGTGTTTGTTGTGTCCTTGACTTCAGAGAATGAAGTGCCCATAGAACGGATGATGGATGATGACAACAGACAAGCAGGATGGAGATGATGTGATGAGCACACACGCACACACGCTCCCACTATCTAAAAGTTTCATGACCTAATCATTCTTGAAAGTGTTGTTGCGATCATAAATAACTAAAATAGTAATTTCCATATAATATGACCAATAATGACCATATAATAACTACTACACGACACACAGAGTGGTGGTACAGCAACTATAGTAACAGGGTGCGAAATTAACAGGAGTCCGGAGTCAAATACTCCCTGATTTACTGTCGGACTCCCTGATTTGACATATGCAGGAGTCCGTGTGACTCCCTGAAAATTCTGCCATACTAACTAGTTCGTTCCGGAGTACGGCCTCGCGGAATTACTGTATTTTTTTTAGCTAATGTCCAAAGGAAATTTGGCAGACGTGCAACTGCATGAATCTTAAAAATAAGCACATGCGTTATTGTTAATATCTTTAATTTTGAAACTCAGACTGCGGACTTCCTCATTTTGCTGCGGACTCCCACTTTTTGAGGGTAGGGAGTCCGTTGGACTCCCTTGTTCAAAAGTTCATTTCTACCCCTGTAGTAGATAGGTAGCGTGTGATATCACAATCAGCAAAAAAGGTGAAAATGACAGCAGACTACTCACATTGCATTAAAAAAAATGCAACAACAAGCGTCCATATGAACTGCTTCACTCACTCACCTTCTGAATACTCTAGCATATATTTCACATGTGTATTAATAGGTTAAAATCTGCCAGTTGTTGCACACATGGCTCACTCATCAATTAGCGACTAACTTAAGGAATTGAAAAACTGAAAAAATGCACCAACAGAAAAAGAAAGTACAAATGAATAAAAGATTGCAATCTCGACAAAAAAATTAGCTACAACAGGTTCAATCCACACTCCATTACCTGCTGTCTGAAATCCCTGCCAGAAGAACTTACAGTGCTGTAGGCCTGCATCCATTCTGACGACAGCTGAGATGCCACCGACTCCATCGATGTGGATTTGTGCAGCTGTGACCCTGAAAATGACTCCAAGGTTATTCAAGAAGAACTCAGACAAGTGTCAGCAGAAGTCAGACAAGGGTCAACCTGCGGCCAGGGAATGGTCAGCCATAGTGACGATCTGTATGATACATCTAAAATATAGGAAGCATGCACCTCTCAAGGATAACAAAACTGGGCTACTTTCTACAGTCTAACGATGCTGGAATGCATCTCTGCAGCACGAAACTGGGATGCACCACTATAACAAAATACAGATGGGATGCTAATGTTTATGTACGACAGATGGACGGACGAAGCTACAGAAAAAGCAATGTATGGACAACGGATGCCAGTAGCAGCTAAAAATAGATATACAGTAGTTATATATATATAATTATATGAATACCTTCCACAGGCTTTCTGTGTATGACATCTAGTGTAGGACTAGAACCACTACCATGTAGTAACATGACCAGATGCTTGTGAGTACACTTCCTGTAAAAGACAGCACAATACTGCATGTAGCAAGCAATATCAATATAAATATCCAACATTTCGATACAGAATCAATGTGACTGTTATTAATTGCTCTCACCTGACATCTAGGCCATTCAACTTTAGGATATAGTCGCCTGGTAATAATCCAGCCTTCTCCGCGGGGCTGCCTGCAGCGAACAAACAGTGATTATGTATAGATATCTTAGTTTACATATCTCTTTCTCTCCCTCTCCCTCTCCTTCTATGTCTCTCTTCCCCCTTTCTCTCCTTCGACGTCTCTCTTGCTCCCTCATTCTCACTCCCACTCTCTATCACTCATCCTCCTTTCCCACTCTTCCAATTCTCTAAGCAATTCATATTGCTGTACAACCTTCATATTTCATAACAAATTTATTAGACAGATAGCTATACTGCCCTCCTTATACATGGTAATCACCTATTTACCACACAATATCAAGCTTGTTGCTCCACTGAAACTTGTGTCGTATCTCCAAGTCCCTATAGCAAGCACCCTTCTGACTGGATTCAACTTGCATGCTACTATTCCATTATTTCCCCATTAGTTGTTGAGCTGAGATTGTAAACACTAGTAGCTCTCGCTATGGAGGTTGAAATTAGTGTTATGACAACGAGTATAAGAAATTGAGTGTGAAAACAATTCGGACCAATTACTTACATGGCCCTTTGACGTTTAACTGCAAGACTCGATGGCCTATTTTTCTGTAGTTAATGCCGAATTATTTCTTCATGCTTACTGTGCCGGTGCGTATGCATCGTGTATGTAATGAATACAACAATAAAATCAAGACCAGTAAATTACTGACCCATTACCATAATTGTGAGAATTTGGGTCAGCTAGGCACTCATGTAATTAATAAATCGGTATGATTACCATTCATTGATCCTGTAATTATTTGGATGGGGAGGTGAACTCTTGTCGAAATATTTTCACTGCTATATGCTTCATATACTATTACATTCAGCATTTGTTAATTTCCTTATCAGTATAACACATAAAGCCGCTTATTTAATGGAATAAACGTAAAGATTATAGCGAAACTTTACATGGCTACGACGCCACCCTTCCTTTCACCCTCACCCTCTCAATTGTTCCTCATGTTTATGCTCTCTGAATGAACATGCATCTGCAATTAAGTTGCAGCAAAGATGCCTGGGCATTGATCGATCAACATGCATAATTCATTACCAGGTAAGAAACTCTTACCTGGATCAATAGACTCGATGTACACTGGACTATGGCCTCGTAGGATGAAGCCAAAACTTCCCTTGACCGGCCTCTGCACAACCACGGTCCTGGAATGATAGATAACAACAACAATAACAATAATAATAATAATAATATAATATAACTGGAATAACAATAGATTAAGGATGTTGTATTATAACAAATGCCCAGGTCACAAATCAAGTTGGTATATAATTTATTCAATCGCTGCCGAGTTAACAATTCGTCGCTTGGCCTCACGCTAGAGTTTTCACGTTTTTCTCTATCTGGAATAGCTTATTTATTATATTTCAACAAAAAGATAAAAGAAAGACATTGGTGAAAAAATAGAGAGTTAGACCCTGTACACATACAAGCAGACACCCACTTGCTACATGGCTGCCTTGCATTAACTAATCGTGACGTCTTATTTCAGATCATACGTTTGCAATAGTAGGGTTTAGTTGCATGCCCTTTGATGAGGAGCAAAGAATGGAATTAACCCTCACTATTGTCGTTATGACGTATGTCACCCCTATTACCGTTTCGCCGGTTCTGCCTGCTCGACTGTGTGTGGCATGCTTATCTTGTCAGTGACTCGATCGTAGACGGGCTGCGTCTCTATGATGGCGTCGAACCTCGCTCGGTGCTTCTGCGGCACAAACGCCCTGAAAAGAAATGTTATCAGTCTATACCTGGCAATAGGCATGAGGTTGCTTGGACTAGGAATTGTTCTCACAAAATTGCAAAAACTCAGAAAACACATTAATGAGCTGTGATCAAGGATGGCTCATAACACTAACAATTGAGGATCGTGCATATGCCTGAGATTAATTTTTTTAAATGTGCTGCCGATAAACCGGTGAACATGAAGGTGTAAACTCATGGCACTCATGCCGCTGCTTTGACCTTGTAATACTGTAGAGTTAAAACCATTTATTTATACTACGAAATATGATAAAGTTTGATAATGTGCCAGCTAACACATTCACAATTAATAAACAACATTGTAAACCAATATTTGCTGGCAGTGTAACTGGTGGTTGTACATGTGGCGAGGGTTTTCCGTTGCTAGAAATCATTTAGAAAGGCCACTTGGCATTGTCGTTGTTCCATGGTGCTTGTTGGCGACAGCCAAGGATAGATGTTTCATGTGGTGTTATATATAGCATATATGTTTTATACATGTAGTTTTTAGGTGCTAGAATACTAGGAAACTCGTTTCATGGTAATATAGTAGCACAGCGTAGCAGTTTTCGATGAGTTGCTTACTAGCTGTATATACCTGGTCTTAAATGTAACCATACAATTTTACTTGGAATTGTTTCCTGAATTACGTTATAAGCTGCAGTAGAAATGTATTTTTCCTTTGTGTACGTTTTGCTATCCTTGTAGTTTTTCTTCTCTAGTCTAACCTTATATTCTTTGTAAAACATTTCTTCATAACTTATTTCCGAACTTGCGTTGTGACCCATTTTAGCATTATGCTTGTTATCCTAGATTTACTGGTATATATATTTATTATATATATATATACATATTTTTTACATGTTTTATCTAGAATACCTATATAGCTATATACCAACGCTGCTTCAACATTCACGCTGTCCGTTTATAAATCCCCCCACATATTTTTAGTCAATAGTGTGCTAATAATTGACACGTATAATATTTGATTTCCAAAAATTCATGTCTGTTTCTTCCCACTAGATACGCGACTAACGTCGTACACGTACTTCTCATACGCCACAAATCTAGGCCCTGCACTGCCATAACTTCAAAGAAATGCAGGAAACCTTTTCGAGAACATTATTCATCAGTCACTATACTGTTTCCTGTTACCACTTCTGCTATGAGTGAAGGCAATTTAAGATCATTAGCTTGATTAACAGATTAATAATACATCCGTCGTGTCGAGGCTTGCTAGATATAATATAGACTATGGCTGGGTGAAGGAGGAGGTAAGTAAGTAAGTGCTTTATAGTAAAATTGTAGTAGAACAGTTTTGTATTGTGTGGGAAATTTTTTTTATCAGGTCAACTGCACTTTCAGTGGCCTATTATATACTTATAATCTTATTCTAGTATTATAATATTACACCAATGCTGGAATTGCATAGTCGATTATTGGTTACACCCTACTGATTGCTAATCGATTATAATCAGATGATCATGCAGTTAATCATTATAATGCATGCTGGGTTATGACCTGTATATACCATTGTTATTGTATTAATGAGGGAAAAGCCAATTAAAAGCAGTAACGCGTACACTTTGTATTTTCATTTGCTAATATAGTGGTAGGAGCAACACCTAACTCCTCCCTGAAATCAAATTTTACACCTGAATTACAAAAGCAAATAAATCTATTTTACATTTACATTTACATTACACAGTGGTACTTTGGATATACACATATGTATTTTACACACACATAGAACCACGAAGTAACAAGAGGCCAAGTATCAATCATATGTATGATCACATCATCTGCAGTCTACTACCTTGTAGGCATCCCTATTCCTTAATGTTTGAAAGCTGCTAATATTACTCAGAAAGCTCATGCATACGGTTAACATTAGAGTGACAACCCTGTTTTCCAGGGTTGGGCCAGGATCAGAATATGAACAATGACTCTCATATCCATGGCTGTTCTCAGGATCTATACGAAAAACAGAAGACCCCCATTCATATATGCATTGCAATGATTTTTGCAAGGTCACAATTAGGAAACACATTTTCAAACTTTCTATCCTGAGATACAGGAAAGGTTTTCGATAAGGACCTGGGATCGCAATTTCCTACAGACCTTCATTATATAACTGGATATACATTCCTAATTTCCCTACATGAAAGTTTTTCGGCCAAAACTAGGAATTCCTCCAAGCTGCTCAACGCGTGGCGTTACTGTACCTGATGTCGCCCACCAGCTGTCTCTGCTCAGGTGTGCTCAGCAGGGTTGCCAACCGCTGGCTAAAGTCTCCCACGTTCTGGTTGGCCGCGTACTGCCGCATGCAGTCCAGCACCGCGCTCTGCTTGTCCTGATCATTAGCCAGCACCGTGTTCAACTGCAAAGACATGTTGCGCGTCTTATTGTATCGGCCAAGGTTCGGTGTAGCGAGATACATTTTACAGGTCATGTGTTTTTCAGACAGAGTTACGTAATGAGTGTCGCAAAACAAGATGGGGTAGACAAGAATCGATCGTGGGGCCAAGATACATGCCGACAAGTTGCAGTAGTGTACGTGCGATCGAGTGAGGAGTTACTCGTGACTTTTAACGGGGATGTGGAGGAGAAATGGGACGTGTGTTCCTTGCTGTTATGGTCCTCATAGTCAGTGGGTCACGCCTGTCATATGCAATAGGAGGAGGGATGAGAGGTGGGGAGATGCGACTGTCTTACATCACAGATGCAAGAATGACAGAGGGGGTATGTCACACGTCATATATGCACGGATGACAGAGGGGGTGCACCATATGTCACGGGTGCAAGGAATGAGAGATGTAGGGGGATGTGCCATACGTCATGGATGCAGAGAAGAGAGTTGGGGAGGCTGGGGGACCTGCCACTCATAACAAATGCAGGGATAAGAGAGATGGGGGATGTGCCATATGTCACGGATGAAGGGATGAGATAGTTGGGAGTGTGGTGGATGTGCCATAGTATGTCTGCGTGTATTAACAGTACACTCACAACACAAACGTATTACGAGTATGTTAAAGCCTTAGAAATATATAATAAACCACTAGTTATATATTTCTACGGCTGAGGTACAGCGAGTTCTGTGTGTGCTCTGCAGGGATAAGAGGTGAGTGAAGGGCTATACATCATGGATGTAGGGATGAGAGATGGGGGGGGGGGATAGATAGATAGACTGAGAGATGGGGGGGGGGGATGACGGATAGTGTGGATGAATGAACACTTAATTGTAATTAGCAGGAGTGTCATAATATAGATTAATGAGATAGATAATCTATATTATGACACACCTGTAATTATAATACAGTGCACGAGTGAGTAAATGCTTTTCCCCACTAGCCTTCACCTTATATTTATAAAGTCAGCGTAGAGAGAACGGTAAAGCGCTCGAGAAAATATGAAGCCACTATAGATGCAAGAAAATACATCTAGCAGAGATAACAGACAATTAACACAAATTAAATCACACGTCCAAATACAGAAGCAATTTCTTCTTTCTTTAATCACGTGCGAATGAAAGCATATGTGCTCCTTTTAGTTTAATGAAATCATATAGGAGGAGAAATAGAAATGATTAAATATGGCATACGCACCGTTGCCATGGCTACAGTTACAAATTTAGCAGTTGAGTTGCAGCTGTCACATGTATTAATACATATTAATATACTTTTGTATAGATATCTGGAATGACTACACGCACCAAGACTGCTATATGCCAAATGGTTTGTAGTTTTAATATTTTATAGTAGGTTTTCATGACTATAGTTTATATAGATAACTCAAACTAGGGTGACTAAATGCACTAAGGCTGCTATTTGTCAAAATAGTTTGTAGTTTTTATTGTTTTATAAGAAGGCTTTCATGACTTGGTGAGGGAAAGGTGATATACACGTGCAGACAGTAGTCGTAGCAAAGCAATGCTCCTACATGTGTATGCACATGAGTTAAAACAATCGCTTTCCTTCCACCCTCTTCAAATATTGAAATTGTACTGATTAATTACTTGCAGGTTTTGCCTTACAATTGCCATGTACAACTTTAAAGTTTCATTTGCCCTGGATAAGGTTCAATATAATTACTCTCAAATGCACCCCCTGAACTCATTGTTTATACATGGTCAATAGATCCTGGCCAAGCTTTGGGCACCCTACTGGATTCGGATATCTGACGAAGCAGCATAATGTATTGTGAAAGCCCACCGTTTAATTATTAACTGATCATTGATCCAGTCCGCAGACTGTATGGTAGATAGCATTGTAGTACTACAGTCATTACCTATTAATGAAGACCTATTGATTTGCGGGAGCCAATCTACTTCGGGCACGGTTACTGTAGGTGATTGTGCTAGGTAGGTGTAAGTGATTGTGCACTCGCAGACAATGATTTTACGCTACTGGTAAGAAACAAGAATATTGGGTGGGTCATGAATGGCAGGCAAGCAAAACGTCATTCTAGATAATACTTTCTATATAATAATGATAGTGTCTACCACCGTAATAGAACACATACATGTGACAGAAATTAGAAACCCTGGAACAAACAGATGGAACCCGACAGTGTTAACTGCATAGATATTTTGGAAAGCTATGATATATATATATACTAGCTGCGGGTACCCGCTGCGCTGGGTAAAAACGTGCTACTAATTC